ATTGCCGTGTCCTCTCGTTTCACCTAGATTCGACTCCAACCGGTGTGGCTGAAGCAAATTTATGTTTCTATACATTTGCAATCAAGACGATTATCAATACATGTAGTATCCCGGCCAAACCTTGGACAAACTTTGCAGCAAAATTTAGATTCGATCCCGTTACAAAACCTAGATCGACATTTCGATATTTAGGGTAAATTCGGCCTCTGACCCAGATTCGGGCTTGTGAGTCCGAATCTATGGTCCGTTTTTGCAAATTCGAAGTCCTTCCCCATCATTCTGGCTACCAAAATTACCCACTATTTGTTGCAGAATTTCTTTGCATTTGAGAGTCTGCCACGTACGACGTTACAAGCTTTGCTATTGGCTTAATGGGGATAACAGTCGAGGATTCCCAATCATTTTTTTGGATAAATTACGATTTGATTACGCTGATTGTGCACTTAATCATCATTGCTAAACAAAATACAGCTGGTGTTACAATACCTCTCGTATCGAATGCACATCGTCAAACCTTTTCATTCTCTTTTACACACTTGGTTTAATCACGAGAAAATATGTTCAGCACAGTAAGTATTCTGACAAACACAGTAAAATCCATTTTAGCACACGAACAAGGAATGGCCATGGTCTGTCTCGACTCGAGACTCTCGAGCCGCACTGCAAAATGCAAAGCGGAACGTTCCAAGAATTGTCTTTGTGATTGGTGACTTGGGCCTGCAAATTGCCAAACGGCGGAGCAAAATTGGGCACGAAGAAGCTGTCGCTCCGGAGAGACTGTGGCGGAAGACCAGGGAGGCCAAAGCACTGGAGGCGTGGCTGGCACCACTGCAGACGCCGGGTGTCCGTTCCGCTAGTGCACTTACTGCTGGTCTGCAGCGCTGGTAGTAATATGAGGATGCTGTGGAGCAGTCGGTACACCGGGTAAGGGGCTGCCACCATTGATACCCGGTGGCGAACCTACTGCTGATTAACACTGGGGCGTCTGCGCTGCGATGAAGACATTGCCACTGCCGCTCCGCTGGAATTGAGGCGCAAGCCGAAGTGCTGTTGTTCGTGCAGCCAGGCGCTTGTCCGATATACGTCTAGGCGCAAACTCTGTCGGTGCCATGGACCGATGACTGCAACAGTACTGCGTCTGTTGAAGCAGAACGGCAAGCTTCAGCTTGCGCTTTTGCGTGTAGTCACGCTTGAAAGCTGGGTTAAAGGTTTCGCACGGATTGTTTGTTGATTCGAAGCCTGGTGGTGTAAAATAAACCTGCCACTTACAGAAGTTTCCTCGCAGCCATTGCTTCTCCATGTACACACGAAACGTGTCCAGCTCCGAATGCGTTCTCCAATCCGCCAAGACTTTCATTTTTCGTGCCAAAAAATCTTCCTTATTTGCCGCAAAGTGAAGATCATAAATCCCACGAAACACTTCAGCAGCCAGATCCCCATGCAGTCTGTTAGTGCGCTCCTTTAGGGCAAGTCAAACCTTAGCTACGACATGATAATAGCACATAAGAGATATGTACTCACCAGCAGCACAAAAACGGTTTTAATACCGTTAAATTGGGCTTTGTCTGCGTCGCCCATAATATACTGAGCATTCAGTCGCTTGCCAACTACTTTGGTGTAGATTGTCTGCAGTCCTGACAAGGCATCCGTGTAGTGACGTTCTTCCAGCTGCGATGTAATAAAAGAGAGCCAATTGGTGGAACTGTCTTGCGCCATCAGACATGCCGCATACAATCACAGGGTAGCTAGTCGGCGCTAGCTGGAGCGTCGCGTCGATGTGGAGAACGAATGAGGCCGAATCTCGGTCAGCAGAGCGCAACAGTGACTTTGTCGTCACACCCACAACAAAAGGGTGGGTGTCAGATCCATCACCAACAACGGGCTTGCCGAACCCGTCTGTTCTAGCGGTAAACGTGAAAGCATCATGCTCCGCCTCGCGGCCGCTGTACGCCGCGGCGGCTACACGTGATGAAAGCTCTCCGTAGCGGTCACTTCCACCTAATTCTGTGCGGCGGTAGTGGTTCACAGCATTTTGAACTTTGCGTAGCTCTGGCAGCTCTTGTAGAGTCTTCCCAAACTTCCGTGTCATGGCATGCAAGATACGGAGAGGGGTAAGGTTTTCGCTGGCTAACTCTTGGGTGTATGCCTTTTGCAAACGTGTGACTTTCGGCTTCTGGCGTGGATTCGCCGGTGAAAAATATTCGCCGAGCTCAAAGAGCGTTACCGCGTTCAACGCTAAACAAGTAACCTTCTTTCCACGCCATTGACACTTTGCAAACGGCGCCACAGCCTTACACTGCGCGCATTCGCACGACAGGAGCTTGTAGCGCATTGAGTGGGGAGTAGAAGACGCACACAAGGTGCACGGCATCAGCTGGCTCTTCGCTGCTGTGAACGCCTTCATACTCTGCAGCAGCATGTCAGCATCGGCTTCGGTCAAGTCACAGGCGAGTAAGTTCCAGTCGTGGGTGCGTGGCATGGTGTCGGGCCTGGGGAGGGGGGGGGCTTCTGTTTGAGGGTGAAAGCTGAAGTGTACGTGGTGTTGGCAGAGATGTTGATATCGTGCACGCCATGTAGTTTTGTGTGAATTTTCTCAAAGCATTGTGTTTTCCAAATGTGCTTTGTGTTCTTCCAAATTATTATATGCTCTCCGTATGTTTGCTGTGAAAACCTGTACTTGATGTGTTTTTCAGACATTTGTGGTGCTGCTCACGCTTCGTCTTTAATCACCTGTAATGTATCATAAATAAGCAGCACGACTAATGGAATGTTAGATCTGATATTTAACAGCAACAACGTCAAAATTGCTGATCGACGAGGGTCTCGGCCCATTGCTCTCGTTCCAGGAGCCCGTTTTGGCTATAAATCGTCTCTGTAGGAAATTAACATACCAATCAACATGCTGATATAATTTGAGTAGATAGATGAACGCCAAGAAAAAGCTACGTCATTTTGAACTGGTGTAATGTCCCAGCTACAGTACCTCCTTTTCGAAATCGAGATAATAAACTACGGGCTTAATCCAGACAATACCGCTACAATATAACTCGTGCCGCATAGCTGGTCAGTTTGGTCAGACAGCAAGCTTTCAAAGGAGGGCAAACACGTCTAAAATGCTGAACACATTTAGACCACCTGACTTTATTTTTTTCTCCAAGCCTTTTCGGCCGGGATAATACTTATTAATATGTATTCTTTTACTTTACCGGTGGCAGTGCTATTTATAAGAGTATTGACCACAGAACTGTACAACTCTTTGTTATTTCAGAACTGTACAACTCTTTGTTATTTAATATAAGAATACTTAATCTGTTTTTGTTGCACCATATGAGATAAAAAGTTTGGCTCATTTCGCATATGGTGCAGCAAAAACAGCAGAAACAATTTTATTTTGTTGGTACAGTGTATCTGTTTAGCTACGCGAACACGTAGTTTAAATACCTTACCTTACCTTGCCTTACCTTACCTTACCTTACCTTAGTGTACCTGTATGAAAGTACAGTAATTCGTAAATAAGCTGAAGCAATTATTTACCAAAACAAAACCAGTAAGCCCTGGGGAGACGATAATCACAGTACAGTGTACTGTACCCTCAAACTTATTCACAGATCGCCTTCATATGGTTTTTGCGATTGGACAGTACCAAGTGCAGAACCAGCCCCATTACAACATGTTTTATTAAAAAACTGTATTACTATTATAATAGGTACATGTAATAAGAGAGCAGTGTTCACAAAAAGATATCAAAACCTTTTACTACTGACCATGGCTTCATTCATTATCGAGCCCCCCCCCCCGCATCATCTACACAGGTGAAGTCGTGCGTGCG